GGGGGGGCGCGGGCAAACACATTGTGTACCTCTCTGATGCTTGAATGGTCCACAGACTCCACACATATAGGTGCTGCTAATTTCATAATTCAAGAAATAAATCAACAGCTAGAAATGTAGAATCCTGCCAGATGCAATAAGGTAGTTAGGGGACAGCCAGCACAGCAAAGGCAAGAAATATGACTTACATGTAGAATCATTGTAGATCAATCTTAACTCCCCCCCCCAACAAAAAAAAAAGAGGAGAAGAAGAAGCAGTTCCAGCCCCCTTAAACCACCAGTCCCAGCCCCCTTACTGCATCCAAAACTCATTGACGATTACCAGCCCTGGCCCGTTTCGGAGAGGCCCACTAGTGCAACGGTCAAAAGGGGTTGCACTAAATTCCGTGTACCTCAACTTCACCCATTTTTAATTTTTAATTCCAGCAACGACAAATTCTGAAAATAATCAGGCGTGTTAGCTGCATCAGGGGGGGGAGGGGCAAAAATGGTTTACGACATGAAAACATAATACTCCCCCCAAATTGAATGCATATCTCCATCAAAGTCGCTATCACCCGAGGAGTGACATTTCACGCTGGCAGACCCGCGGGGGGAGGGGGTCTTTTTCTTCGGTTCACAGAGATAGGCTCGACAGGACTACAGTAGCGCTTAAACCACTAGTACCTTTGTTGTTTCAGAAAATAACAGGCCTCCGAACTTTCAGGAGGCCGAAACGAAATGACAGAAGCCGATTAGATCTATCAATGGCAACCGTCGTTGGGCCTGGCCTCCGAATTCTTCGGGAGCTGGTGTTTTCCCTCATTTCTGAAGCGGCAAAGCCACTAGTGGTTTCAACAAAACGAAAAAAGAAAAAGTGGCAAAACTCAGCACAGCAAAGACAGTAGTTGTGACTTAACATCTTTAAAATCAAAACCACAAGCGGATGCCCACCACGTCCGCGGTGGGGACCACGAGCAGGAAAACATCAAAGAAAAAGAGAAAACACATTTCAATGACAATGAATATTCCGCTGCCCACTTCTCTGCAACTCTCCTCCTCGACCACCTTCCCCTCCCCCTCCGCATCATCATTCTTCTCCTCTGTCACGCTCCTCATCGGCTACCTTCTCCTCCCCCTCCCGTCACCATCCTCCTCCTCCCCGTCATGGATCTCCTCCCACTCCGACATCCCCGCCTCCGCTCCACCACGCTCGTCCCCTTCCTCTCCCCCTCCCCCTGATCATCCTCCACCTCCCTGTCATCGGCCTCGGCGTCCTGCTTCTCGTCATCCTCCTCCTCGCCCGCCATCGTCCTCCATATCCTCCTGCATGTCATCGTGCTCCACCCCCCCTCTCCTTCTTGTTACATGCTGAGAGCCTACACACGGGCCCCTCACGGGACCCGAGGTTGGAATAGGGCCCCCAGGTCGCGTCACCGCAACCTGAAGGCCCTATGGCATTTTTACTTGGGCCTGCATCAGAAAAACGCCAGCTTTAGAGTATTTTTATATTCTTTTATTTATTTAATTGCTGTTGTTTTTCTAAYGTGTGTGCTGTTGTCCGTTTTGTGGCCAGGTACACGTTCTAGGGCCAGGACCTGATTCAGGCCCAGAGGCTGAGCCTCCAAAAACGTTTGGACCGTTTTTTTGTTTCCGGACAGATTTTGGACCATTCCGACCTGGACCGACRTTCAGGCCCGATGCATTCGCATAGGCCCTGAATCGGACCAGGTACCGAACAGGCCAGCCCTGGGCAGGGCCTGGACGTCCGGTAGGGACCCAGGCAGGCCGTTTTAGGCCAAGGGCTGAACCAGTTTCGAAACCTGCGATCTGGACCGTGGATCGGATTTCGATCTGCACGGTCCAGAACGCAGGCCGTGGGGTTTCAGTCCTGGCCCAGCGCTACTTAAGCTGGGCCGTTGCCCAGTTCGGACGGAAGGTACCAGGAGAAATCCAGCGTTATGCTGGTTCAGGAACTTGGCTGCTGCGCTATTTTGGAGACTCCCTGCTGCGCTATTTCGAGACTGCA